AAAGTTCTAAGTACAAGGATAGGGTTTGCTATCTATTGACTCCAGCTGTTCTTTTGCATACTCACAGCTGATTGAGTTCACTTTCACTGGCTGTTCCCTTTCTTTGACTCATGCCCTCTGATACATGTTCATAAATTACCTCAATTTCTGTTAGAAGGAAGAGGCACTGCATTTAAACCAAATTAGAAGAGAATAATCCCATATGCTCCCTGAAAACAGAGGCTTTAATGGTTATTTATGAGTAAGATTTCCTGAAGTCCATGAGGTCAGCTAAAAATGAGAATGGTGAACACACTTGGGAGAACAACATGACACACCCACATGGTGAACCAAAATGATGGCCAAACATGGCAGAAAGATGGACTAGGATGGCTTCCTGGGGTCTTAAGGAATAGGACTTTGAGAATGTGGCTCACTAAGGATCCCCAGGAATAAAAGGACACAAGGGGAAACATGCACATGAGACTTTGAGCACAAATATGGTTGGTGGACACTCAAGGAGGAGACCAAATTACTTATAGCTATTTTTTTTAAAGAATGAGAAAGCTGAACAAAGTAGGGAGGAGTATAAAAACATGGGGGCCAAAAGGCATATTAAACTTTAGTCATGGAACTTGCGTGGTTTCCAAAGATATCTTGGGTCCAGCCAAGCCAAAAATGGTCTATTCTGCAACTGAGCCAGGGGCAGCCACCCTGGAAACTCCAACTCCATTGTACCCACACAGAGTCACTAGACCAGGTTGGGACAGCACAGAAACCATGCACTTCTCCTCCCTACTCCCACATGGTGAAACACACTAGGGAATTGTTCCAGGAGCTATAGAAAACTTCCTGAGTTCCCCAGCTTCCTTTAATATTTCCCACCCTCCAAGTCCCTGCCTGTCCCTGATAACTGATATAAAAATAATTAAAGGATTAGAGTTTTATGACACATGACAGCCTGATTGAGAAGAAGAGTTAAGGGGATTGAGGATTTCCTGTGGAAAATTAGTAATCAAACAAGCCCACCCCCACAGGCACATAAGCAAACATACAAAAAACAGTGCTCCCTTTCTTGGTTTGAACCCCCAGAGTTCAGAAAGAGAGAGCACCAAAACTGTGCCCAAAGGGCCTTTCCTCATGGCTGGCTCATGAAAAATGTTACAAGGGTTCTGGGGTGATGTGGGCTCTTCTCAGGGATTCTGTGCAGATTCTTTTTTTTGAGACTGACCTGGAACTCACTATGTAGCACAGGCTGGTCTCGAACTCGCAGCAATCCTTCTGCTCAGCCTCCTGAGAGCTGGGATTACAGGTGTGCTCCACCATGCACGGCTTCTGTGCAGATTCTTAATGTCTAAGTGGAGAGATGGGTAAAACACATGCAAAATTTAGTGATGCATTATATTTATTAATGGCAAGAAAAGAAATGTGCTCCACAGAGTGAGTTCAGGCCAATTAAAGGAGGAGAGGTATGCTCAGCTGGGTGAGAACAGGCCGCCAAAAGAGCTTACAGTTGCCCCAAGTTCTCCAGTGACAGCTTCTTGCTCCCTCCTCTTCACCTCCTACCTGCAACTGCAAAGTCAGTGGAAATATTGTAGCTACTCTGAGTTAGAGGAGAGGGTTTCTGGTAACACAAATGCCCTGCAGATGTCACGTGGTATAGTAGGAGGAAGATAGAAGGGCCAGAGCAGAGGGAGGCACCAAGGCCCTGTCTGCTGGCCATTGGCTCTCAGTGACCCCTGCCAACTTTGTGTTCCTCTCCTACAGCACCTCATTGCCCTGCCCACGCAATATTCCACTTACTTCCTGCCAGGTCCAAACTCCAGCTGTGGCAAGGCCCTGCTTGGCTGCCTGCAGTCAAGTAATTGCAGCTTTCTAAACCCTAGTGCAGAAACTGGCCTGTGAGCCAACTATGAACATGGGGTTGGATCTACACTCTACAGAACTGAAGCTACCTGTTTCTCCTCCTGGGGCCAGGGAGAGGCTCTTGCAGGTGTGAGGACAGTGCCTGGGCTTGCCAAACTGTGCTGAGCTAAAGCCTGAGACTGACCAAGGGACGATAACAAAGAGAGTAGATCTGGTGGAGATGAAGACAACAACAAAAGAATAATGAATCTCACAGAGGATCAGGTCTGACCTTGAAATATGCAGCACTCAGGGGTGGGCATGTTCTCAGATAGTCAAGAGTTAACAGACACAAAGTGTTCATCACCTGCCTTCAGCTACAGTCAGGATCAGGCAAACCTAGTTTTATGTGGATTAGAAGTGATTATCAATTGCTTCATCACTTCCTGTGTATTTTATGGTTTGGTCACAGTTGCAGATCTCACACCATCTTTCCTTATACACCGTTCCTTGTGTGGATGCTTTCTTTATGTCATGCCATGTGAGGCATGGGGATCCTTTAGAATGGCATATTTGTCTGTTGTTTCCCATAGTTCTCCCTGGCCTTACAGGACCTGGCAGGGTCCCTCTAGTGCCTGAGACCCGTTGCTGGCTGCTCCTAGGCTTGAATGATGGTGCCAAGTACCAAGGAGCCTAAGTAGGATAGGTTTGGATAAGGCCCCGTGACAGGGGTGAAGGCTGAGTGAGAAAGCCAGGAAGTGAGTAAAAGCAGCATTTGCAGATCAGGGTCCCTTGACAATGCTGAGCTGGGGCTGACAAGGAGGTGGCAGCGTCCACGGTGCATGAGGCAGCTGACTGGAAGATTCAGTCCTTTTGTGCCTTTCCTTTCTGCATCCTGGAACTCTGCAAGACCATCAGGACCATTAACTCGGGGTAGGTGTAGGGCAGCTTCATCTAGGTGAAGGGTTCTCAGGTGGGGATCCACAGCTTCCTGAGCATTCTATTTGCTAAGTCACAATTAGGACCACTGTAGTTTGCTGCCCCAGAAACCCTAAGCTTTGAAGTAGTGAGAGAGTTGAAATCTCCCACCCCACCACATAAGCTTTCCTGGGACCTGGGTAAATTTAATCCCCTGGAGAGTGGATGGTGCTCTGATTTCTAAATCAGGCTACAGTGAGTGATTCTTTCCTCTAAACCCCGCAGTGATGTTTGTTCTGCAGTGGGGGATTTCCCAAGTGAGTATGCTGAGACTGTACAGGGAGGAAGAACTTCGCTAGGCTTAAGCTGAGGGCTTGGCACCTACAAGGCGTTATCTCCAGGTACTCAAGAACAAAGCAGGGAAACATTTGTCAGTAGAATTAGGTTGTGCCAGGTGTTCACTGCCAACAGAGGAAGTGTCTCTGGGAAAGGTTTGGATTTTCTCTGTCAACTTGTAAGGGCCCCACAATCCAGAAGTGGTTGTTGTAGATCCCTGAGGAGAGCAACAGTGGGGGGGGGGTGTCTCTGGGGACCCTGTCCCCCACAGTCACTATACCAACTGGGAGGCCAGGTGCTATTGGTCACAAACCAGGGTATGTTCTTAAAACTAGAGACTGGCAGAGATGAGGTTCTCTGAGTCTGTTCTGGGGATGAGGGACAGGGCAGCTTTCCTCTGTGAGGAATTAGCTTCCCTTCATCCACACAGCACATGTAGGGTGCATCTCCCTGTTGAAAACCGAATGGTACAGTAGTGATAAGTGGGATTGTGAACACTTGCAGTCAATGGTTCTCATAAAAACAGCTAAGAATGAGAATTTTCCAGCTTCAGAAAGAATCAGATCTAAGCCCTCAGCCATCCTGAGGCCTCTCTAGAAGTCTGTTTTGCATTCCAGCTTTCCCTGAGCCTGTGATCTATACTCTGAGGGGCAGATACTTAATGGAAGAATTAGGCATAAACAGGGCTTCAGTGAGAAGTAAGCACTGATGGTGGCTTGGAGCAAATGTTAACCCAGATTTATATTTTTTGTTTGGTTGTTTGTTTTTGGTACCGGGGATCGAACTTGGGTCCTTGTGCTTGCAAGGCAGGCACTGGAACCACTAAGTTAAATCACCAGCCCCGAGATTCATATTTTGATGACTGCACAAAGCCTGGAAACATCTTCTGCTCTTGTGACTAGGTGTCTCCTAAATACAGATGAACGAATGCAGAGGTTCTGAACCCTTCATATTTGGTCATATGCCTAATTCCAACTTCTATGGGTTGCTTGTACCTGAGCACATACATGCTTGCACATTTCAGTGTTCATTGTATCCTGACTCTGAGAATGTGAATTGGTAAATTGAGGTTGGGAGAAAATTTGTTATGCAAGAAGATTAGAATTGATCTGGGGACATGCTCAGGAGTAGAACTATAACCTAGCATGCAGGTGGCACTGGGTTCAAGCTCAGAACTGGGGGTGGGAGGGAGAGGAAAGAGAGAGGGAGAATGAGGAGGAGTTGAAGGAGACAGAGAAGAAGCTCAAAATACAGGCTCCTTGTCCAGGAAGCTGCATAACCTGAACCTCCCCCAAGTGAATGTTGCCTGTTAAATTTGGTGACTTGTTGATGGAGTGTACCCAGGGGACAATCAAGATCCCAGACTTTCAAAGCCCAGTTTAGGAGATGATGGGAGACTTTGTGTTCTTGACACTTGCTCTCCAGGTAGCACATTTTCCAAATGAGTACATCTGCAACTGACTTCTGACTTCCTAATGTGCAGCTCAGAGCTGAGGATCCCAGGTGAGATGTGTGCTTTCCAGGTCCACACCCATGTCTTTGTTGCCTCTGTGGTGCCAGACATTTCAAGCGAGGGTGGAGGAGGAAGCAAAAGAAGAAAAGGGGATGAAAAAAAAAATCAAGGGAAGGAAAGCATGCAAACAAAACTTTTGTATATTGAGGAGAGGAAGAAAGGGTGAAGAGAAGGCAGGAGAATAGAAAAAAAGACGAGATGTGTTATGTATGGGTAGAAATCCCCCAGGATGAATATAATCGTTATGAATGGCAAATAAGTACTAATAAATTAAAAAAAAAACAGCTGAGAATGAAGGCAGGTGGCCAAGTCTGTCTGCTGGCCATTGGCTGTGTCTAAGCTCTGCCCAATCAGTGCGTTTCCCCTGTAGCACCCATCTTGCCTGAGTCACCAGATGCCCCGCCTCCTCCCTCTTGGGTTCAGACTCTGACTTGGGCGGGACTCTATTCCCAGGCTTCCTGTGGGTTAAACGAGAGTGCCTCCAGCAGCATCAAAATACAGTCAGACTGACGATGGGACTGGACCAACTTCTCAGCTTGCTGAGGGCTGTGACCTGTGGGCTCTTAATTCTACATCCAAGCCAAGGTAAGTCTCTGGCAGAAGATGTCAGGTGGCACAGTCACATCTGCCAAAGTGTGCAGAGGCAGAGCCTGAGACTGTAGGGTTGGAGGGGAGTGGGGTGGAGGAGAAGAAGTGCCAGGGAGGGAGAAGCTGGTAGAGATGGCAGATGGCAGTGTGGGCAATGTGTGTCTACAAAATGTTCAACCAAGCCCCGAAATGGGCACCAGAAGCACAGACAGGGTCAGAACTGCCTGAGGAGAACGAACACCAAAGAGAAGTGCACTCTGAGGATGGAAAAGGAACACAGGTGGGCAGTGGGAAGTGTTAGGAGATCGCACATGTTAAAATATAACCCCCGCCTCGCCATTTTATATCTTACTTCCGGGTTCTTCCCCGACTGAGTCCTTTCTCCCGCCGAAATTGTAAAGCACGAAACTAGAGCTTCTGCAAGGCACGAAATTCAAAAGGCAACCTGGCTTGCGATAGGATAACAAAGACCGCTTCTCCCAAGGAAGGATCTTCCGTTGCCTGCGCTATAAATATCCCAGCACTTCCTCTTCTCGCTCTCTCTCTCTCTGCCTTCCTGCCTCCCGCTCGCCTCCCTACAATAAAGACCTCCTGCCGGACCTCTCGGTGCATGAGTGGCATAATTGGGCAAGGGGCACCCAAAGGGGGCTCGAGACCACGTTTCGGGAAGTCTTGTGGCTTTGGAGCTGGGTGGGACTCAGGACATCTCCCTCCTGGGTTTGTGCGTTTGTGGCTGTAGATGCCCTTGGCCCTCAGGTGTAAGAATAATGGTAATAGTAACTTCTTGCTGCATTTTGTCCCTCAGTGTGACACTGTCTTACCCAGAAAAATACCCTAGCAAGGTAACAGGTCTTGAGGGACACAGAAGCCCCTGAGCACCACATCCCAAAACTGAAGTGAGAGACTAAGGAACGCCCCCACACCCTGCCCCTGACATGGGGAAAAGGCATAGATTGGTTCGAAGGGCAAAGGTGTGGTTCGAAGGGCAAAGGTGGTCTGGCCTATCACAGTCAGGTAGTCTTTGGACTTTTATCAAGAGCTGATGCCAGTATGGCGCCATGTACAAAATGTGTCTGCAGACTTTGACCCTCTCACTCAAAGGCTGCTGGTGTGGGACCTGATGATCACCCTAACCCTTCCCCAGCCCAATCTACCACCTAGGAGGAGTCACCACTCATCTCACTGCCCGGGCACACCCTGATAGACTACCTTCCTTACCTGCTTTTGACCAGGCAGTGGTATTATGAGAAGAGAGTGTGACAACCAGGATGTGTGTGAAGTCATGGTTTTCAGACCGGGGCCCCTAAAAAGGCTGAGCTGAGGATGACAAGGAGATGGCAGTAATCACAGTGTGGGAGGCAGCTGATTGGGCAGATGACATTCTGATGTGCGTTTCTCTTCCCACAGCCCAGGACTCTGCCAACCCTATCCGGAGTACAAACATAGGGCAGGTGCGGGGAAGCCTCATCCACGTGAAGGGCACTGATGCTGGGGTCCACACCTTCCTGGGAATTCCCTTTGCCAAGCCACCTTTAGGACCACTGCGGTTTGCACCCCCTGAGGCCCCTGAGCCCTGGAGTGGAGTGAGAGATGGAGCCTCCTACCCTCCTATGTAAGCTCTCTGGGGAGCTGGGGAAATTCAGGCCCTAGGGAAGGGTGGGTGCCTGAGCTCAGGGTCAGGCTGCAGTGATTCTGCCATCTAAGTTCTGCAGCCAGTTTTCCTGTGCTTTTGGGGGATTCCCACTATGAGCATGCCAGGCTGCAGAGGGTAGAGGCACTATGTTAGACTGTTGGCTCAGGCCTTGGCAGTCTAAAGGTATTGGTGCTGAATAGAGGGGCAGAGACACATTTCTTTGTAGTTTTGGGTTGTGCCATATGTTCTATATCACTGGGGAGGTCTCCGGAAGAGATCAGGTTAATCAGTGAATCTTTTAAGAACTTCTGATCCAGCAGCAGATACTGCAGATCTCTCAGGAGGACAGTAGTGGTAACCTTCTGGAGACTCTACCCTCTATAGTCACTGGGCCAACCGACAGGTCAGGTGCTCTGGTCTGGTTCTGACCAGGACAAGACTTGGAATACCTGTCTGCCATTGTCACCAGGTGTCCTCAAGCTGCTGATATAATGAAGATGTTTAATATGACCTCTCCTTCTATACCTGTATCTGAGGACTGCCTGTACCTCAACATCTATACACCTGCCCATGTCCATGCTGGATCTCACCTGCCTGTAAGTGCCAAGCCATGGTTATCTTAGGTATAGAGGACATTTGTTCTCCAAGAACAGAAGGTTTCTAAAGATGTGGCTTAATGGTAGACATTTGCCCATGAAGCACAAAGTTCTACGTTGAAGCCAAAGCACCACAAAGTCTTAACTAATTGAAGGAGAATGAGCTTAGAATGGACATGGTCAGCCTGATTCTGTTGCAGTGTGGACCTTTTTGTGAAAACTTCTGCTATTGAGACCAAGAAGGGCTTCTGAAACAGGAAGGGTAACTGATCCCTAGGTATGAAGTCATGAAGCCCTTACTGGTACCAGAGGCCAGAATTCTCTTTTGAAAGTACCCAAGAACCTAGCTGTAGTTTATCTGTTGTGCCAATGAAAAAATAGTTTTATTATGCTTTAGTTGGGAAATATCAGAAACTCCCACCCCCTCTTTTTCCATTGCGAAGGGTCAGACAGCAATAGATACAGGCTTGGATTTATGATGTCTCCTTGGTCAAACTAGGGACTATCACACATGTATCAGGTGTGCGATCCTACTGGAGTCCTACATGATAGTCACACAGAGCCTAAGTAGTGGATAGTGTATGAGGAGGCCAAGTGCTGTATGGGCTGGACAGAAGCCACATGGCCTCTGTTTTGATTTTCCCAGGTGATGGTATGGATCCATGGAGGGGCGCTAGTTTTAGGCTCGGCTTCCATGTATGATGGATCCAAACTGGCAGCTTCTGAGAACGTGGTGGTGGTCACTATCCAGTACCGCCTGAGTGTCCTGGGATTCTTCAGGTCCGTCTGTGGTCGGGCTGGGAAATAAGGCTGAGTAGAGTGAGGACAGGCTTGTGATCCCTGCCCTTGTCATTTCTCAGCACTGGAGACCAGCATGCCACTGGTAACTGGGGCTTGTTGGACCAAGTGGCCGCCCTACGATGGGTGCAACAGAATATCATTCACTTCGGAGGCAACCCTGACCGGGTCACCATTTTTGGAGAGTCTGCAGGTGGCATAAGCGTGTCATTGCTTGTCTTATCCCCCATGTCTCGCGGACTCTTCCACGGTGCCATCATGGAGAGTGGGGTGGCTCTGCTGCCTGATATAGTCGCTAGTTCATCTGAGAGTATCTACACAGTGAGTGCCCTCAATGACCCCTCCCCGGGACCCCTCTTCCCTCACCTTTAGAGCCTCTATTGAGCTGTCATTCACGGGGGAAAATAATAGCAGTTGAGGTGTCTTGAGAATTGTTGCCTTCATAGGAATTGCTGAGGTCCTCAAGGCTGACAGTACATACACCTCGGCCTCTCAGAAGCTGAATATGCTCTGTGATCATCAAAGCTAACTCATAGGGCTCTACTGTGGGTAGAACCATGGAAAAAAATGGCCCCTGGTGCTGAGAATTCTGAGCAACAGGGATGACAGAAGAAATTGCTGATAGCAATTTGTACAGAGTATCTCCAGACTTTGGGGGTTTACCTGCGTCTAGCTGGGTCCTCTTTCTGCCTGCAAACCTGAGCAAGTTCCTGCCTAAACTAATTTCAGATGGTGGGCACCCTGTCTGGCTGTGGACAGATTGACTCAGAAGCCATGGTGAGATGCCTACGTGGCAAGAGTGAAGAGGAGATTGTGGCTATTACAAAGGTTGGCTGTTCTCAGGAGTGGCTGAAGGGGTGAAATTGTCTGAGAGTGAGTGCCTCTTACTCTGCCTGATAACCTCATCCTCATCTGTCACTGTCCATGCAGATCTGGTTGGGAAATGTGCACAAAGATTTGCTATGACAAGGCGTAGCATTCATGAGGTGGATGTGCGCATCCTGGGATGAGTTAAGGGGGACTGGAAGTAAGCCATTGGGCATTAGGAAATATCTGAGACCTGACCTCGATCTCTGATATGAATGCCCTCTTAGTCCTTCAAGATCATCCCTGCTGTAGTGGATGGGGCCTTCCTGCCCAGGCACCCCCAGGAGCTGCTGGCCTCTGCTGACTTTCATCCTGTCCCCAGCATCATTGGTGTCAACAGTGATGAGTATAGCTGGGGCTTGCCCATGGTAAGTCCCAGTCCCAGTAGTTTGGGTGTGCATTTAGTTTGTAGGAGTTACACAGGTACAGGCCAACCCCAGTTTTAACTCTATACTATTCCTCCACTGTCCAGTATTTTGGCTCTGCTGACACACAGAAGGAAATGAACAGAGAGACTCTGCGGACTGTTTTGCAGAGCGAGTCAGTACCAGTGGTGAGGCCCCTATGTTCCTAGTCCGAGGGTATGGCATCCCCAGATTTGTGCCCATGCCACCATCCCATCAAATAAAAGCTGAACTGTGTATTTGGTTGCAGGTGGGGTCACCCCCTCACAATCTCAAGTCTATGATCCCCTAGCTGTTTCCCACCCTAAGATCCCTCATGGCCCCAGAAACCTGCCTGACCTGACTCTCCACAATCTGCCCGAGGTAGAAGTTGCCTGCTGAGTTTGTTGACCTGTTGATGGAGGAGTACATGGGACACATTGAGGACCCTCAGGCCCTCAGAATCCAGTTCCACGAGATGATGGGGGATTGTATGTTCGTGATTCCTGCACTCCAAGTAGCACGTTTTCACCGTGAGTACGTCTGTAACTGAGGCCTGACAGCTGAGGCAGTAGCTCAGAGCTGTGAGTCTCAGTGAGGTCTGTAGATTCAAGGTGTGGTCCTATATTATTATGGAGGCTCTGCTTCCAGGCACTTGATATCCTTCATCTTAGAAATCTTCATAGGTAAATCTCAAGAAGGAAGTACTATTCTGAAGGGTCATAATTCCTGATGTTAAAATATACTACAAAACCTTAGTAACAAAAATAGCATTATCATAGCCTAATGGAAAAGAATCTGCGACAAACATAAACAACTACATCAGTGTGATTCTTTGGAAGGGAACCAAAAATATACATTCAGCCAGTGGTGCTAGGCTAACAGGATATATGTGTGTAAAAGACTGTTACTAGATCCTTCTCTCCTTTAATTCTAGTACTCTGGGAGAGTGAATCAGGAGGATTGTGAATTTAAGCTCAATTTGGGCAACTTAGTAAGACCATGTCTCCAATCAGAAGTGAAAAAGCCCTGGGCTATAGCTCAGTGAAGCCCCTTGGCTCAATTCCAAGTATTAAAAAGAAAAGAATATTGTGTTTGTCCTTGAGAATAGAAAATCTGGGGTTGGGGACTTAGTTCAGTGGTTCCAGTGCTGCTTGCTTCACAAGAGCAAGGACCTGAGTTCGATCCCTGGTACCAAACTAACTAAATAACTTTTTTTAAAAAAAGAGTACTATATTTGTTCTTAAGAATTGAAAATCTGTGGTCTGGAGATTCAGCTCAGTGATGCTGTCTCCTGCCTCTCAAGTGCAGTGTCCTGAGTTCAATGACTTGCACAGGAAAAAAAATGTAATATATGCTGATGAAAATTAATGATACAGGGAAATAGGGAGACTTTTTCATTGTTAGTGGAAATAAAATTAGTGTAGCTGTTATAGAAAGCATTATTGAGGTAATTCCAAAACTAAAACTAGAGTTACCATTTGATTCAACTTTGAGGGTATACAATGCTCAGCATATTCTGAAAGAAATAAAATCAGCATACTACAGAGATACCAGCCTAGCCATATTTATTACAGTATGATTTGTAATAGTTAAGGTATTGTGATATAGCCTACCTGCCCATCAGCAGATGATGGATAAACAAAGTGTGTACATACAATAGAATACTCCTCGGCCATAAAGTAGAATGAACTCACATCATTTGAAAGAAAATGGGTGGGACTGGAGATCATTATGTTAAGTGAAGCTAGCCATACACAGAGTGTCATGTTTCACATCTTTCCTACATAAGGGAAATGTGGAGAAGAAGGAGAAATGACATGAAAGAAGGAAGACCAGTAATAGTAAAGAGAGAGGGAACCAGGGGAGCAGGAAGAAAGAGAGAAGGTGGAAATGTGAGAATCATCACAATGTGTGTGTAGATATATTGCCGAAATGAAGCCTGTTCGTTGGTTTACTTAATGTACTCTAAAAGTCGTTTTCCTACCTGATGTAAGAGACAGATATCTTTCTCATTATACAAATGGAGAAACTGAGGAGAGTGACTCTCAGAGTCGCCCAGACTACTCAACTAGCAAATCCAAGATCATGACTTATTCAAAGTGTTTCCTATTGTTCCTACTGCAGCCTGGAACTCCTCACCACACTGTTCAGATTCCAGCCAACTTTGGACTTAGATGCTTTGTCCCCAAGGCTGAGGCAGGAGAGCTCCAGGTAAGGGGTCACCAAGTCACAGCTGTCCACATCCCCAGGTTCCCATGGCACTGTCTACTTCTATGAATTCCAGCATCCTCTCAACTTCTTCAAAAATATCAGACCACCCTACATGAAAGCTGACCATGGCGATGAAATTTCCTTTGTCTTTGGACTCTTCTTGTGGGGCAACCCTGGTGAGTCTCTTCCATATACAGGAGTAGGGATGGGGCTCTGGCCGGGTCCCTGAGTTGTGACTTCATCCTCAGTCCAGACGAGGAAATTGAGACCCAGAGAGAGGACAGGATCAGTGTCTACTGTTTTATACATCAGGAGACTGCACTAGGATTAGAATCCAAGCCCTTGCACTCCACCCAGTGCTGTCATCCTGACCATGTTGTTCAGCATGTGTGAAAAGGGCAGGTGGAAGTGTCTCAAAGGCACATTTGTTTCTTTAATGAATTGCCAGGGTCAGATGTACAGGGAATGGCAAAGAGGATGGCACCATAGATCCTAAAGAAGGTACTGGTCATGAGCCACAAGAACAAAAAGCTGATTAAAGAATAAAGACAGGTTGGCCATGGATTTAGCTCGGTGTTTTCGCTGCCTACCTCACAAATGCAAAGACCAGAGTTTGATCCCCTGTAACAAACAAACAATAGCAACCAAAAAACAAAGACAGGAAAAAAGACTTGGAGAAAAAGCTGGGTCTTGGTACCAATCGGTGCTTCTCTAGGCAACAAAGAGAAAGGCCTTCAAGCACATCCAGTATTTATTGAACACAAGCATGGGAAGGAACGGGGAGCGAGGTATGCATTGAGGCATCTATTGAAATACTGCCAAACACCTGGTCTGATTGAAGACGCAGGGCTGTAAGGGAGGAAGCACTGCTTATCTTTGTGGGATAGAAGAAGTACTGGCACCTGGTGGAATTAGCAAGCAAGCCATTGGGTCAGGGAGAAGCCATAATTCAGGGAAAGGATTTTAATTGGGGTCACACTGATCTGAGCTGCATGTAACTCAGCAGATTGCTGCCACTTCACAGACCAGGGCTAGGACTCAGAGGCAGCCATTGGGGGAGGGTTTGTACTCATGCAGGCCACCATCCGACATGCCCATTTGAGTCATGTAGGGAAAGCAAGAAGCATGTGCCACTTACTGCCTGTTAGCACTGGGCAGGGATGTCTGCTACGCAGGTGGAGGCCCCTTCTGGGCCAGTACCGAGCCTGGGATCCATCTGACTAGGGACTGACAGGAGATAAGGCTAAGCAAGGGGAGGGCCCTGCTCTGGGGTGAGTGGGTAAGTAGGGGACTAGGCCAGGTGTCCAGGTGAGGGATGAGATTGTTACATCAATGGTCAGCAGGCTGAAAGGGATGAGCCTCAGTCTAAGACCTGGTCGTTTGTCCTCCTTCCCTCTACAGTTCACTTCACTGAGGAGGAGGAGCTACTAAACAGAAGGATGATGAAATATTGGGCCAACTTTGCACGAAATGGGTGAGATGATGCTTCCCTACCTCAATCATCACAGGGTGTGACTCCATCAGGTGCACCACTTTTCTGTGGGAACTTTTTAGCACATGTGCGTCCTTAAATCACATGTTAATGCCATTGCATGGACAAGAATTGTGTGAAGGCAGAGTGGAGAGAGGCTCTGCCAGTACAGGTCACTCATCTCCTCTCAGTGACCTGCAGGGTGGGCCATAGTGCTGTAGTGCCATAGTGCTGCCTCTAAGAGGGAGGCCCAAAACAGGACCAGTAGCCCTGTCTCACATGGAGGGGACACTAGTGGGATGGCTTTGTTGTCTGTATTAGGAATTCTCCTTGCCAACTTAGCTGTAGGTCCTGATGCAAATCAAGGCCCTCAGGCTGGGGTTCAACAGGGTTCAGACTGACCTGTCACCCCCTGTTGGGAGGGTATCTTCACAGGAATCCCAATGGCCAAGACCTGCCCCACTGGCCTGTATTGGACCATGAGGAGCTGTACCTGCAGCTGAACATCGAGCCTACTGTGGGCCGTGCCCTGAAGGCCACCAGGCTGAAGTTCTGGACTGAGACTCTGCCTCAGAAGATCCAGGAGCTAAAGAGAGCTGAGGAGAAGCATGCAGAGCTGTAGTTCTCTGTGAGGAGGAGGGAGGTGGGTGTGAGTGCAGGTGGGATCTGCCTGTGGTGACCACACCCACAGCGCCATTTATCCACTCTTCATCTATTCATTGGGCCCTCAGTAATGAAGAATCCATTCCATAACGTTCATTGCTAAGCTTGCTTTGTGTCCCCTCCTGTTAGACACTCACTACATCCCCCAGTGTCCTGGCATGTATCCAGATATCTCTCCGAAGTCTCCTGTGGTCATAGGTGGGGCTTTCCAGAGGTGACTGGATGTAAGGTGTGTGAATGCATCCAGAGGCAGTGTCTCTGTTCAGATGCTGGGACTGATTCATGGTGTAAGGAGTAAGGGTGTCCCACCCTGTGTGTGACTGCTACTAAGCTCAGGGTGGATAAGTAATAAGGGACAGAAAAAGGCTTTTTGCTGAAACATCATTTACTGCTTCTGTGCTTGCTGCTTTTTTTTCCTTTTGCCTGCATGAACTGTTTCTCCTCTGTGATACCCTTCTGCCATTCCTTGCACCCAGCCATCTGTGGACTGAAACCTCTACAAACTGTGAGCCCAAATATCCTTTACTCCTTTAACTTTGAGTGTCGGGTATTTTGTGTGAGTAATAATAAAAGTAACTAAGACACCCAGGGAGCTGTGGATGTGAAGATTCCATTGGGCACCCATTTTTTGCAATACCACACTGGATCTGGACGCCTTTCCTTTTCCATACTATATCTTCATGCCTTCACTCTTTGTCCTCCTAGCTCCTACTCTTGCCTGAAATGAAAATGGTGCCTTGGAGGATGTTACCCACAAGTAGGTGTCAGAATTCTTTTCACCTCTCAATGATTCCATCTATGATCATATCAGTACAGGCCAACAGAAACCAGATTACATGAACCTTGGCTCTTTGTGTGTTCAGGCTGCTATAAAACAATATAGTAAGGGCTTGTTCTTCAGCTCATAGATGACATCGTCTCATTGTTGCCACATTTGGTAGAATGGACAAACAGTAGCCCTCATGACCTTTTCACATCTTATGGGTTCCACCTCTTGATTATCAAATCACAGATAAGGTTTGAACTTACGAAAGGTACAAGGTTGAAAGAGCATATCTCCTAGAGCTCCCCAGTGGCAGCCACCAAGCCAACTACTGAAATTGTCTCTACCTATTGTCCATCTGTATTCAATGTCATCTATCACTAACTTCTCAAATAACTCACTCACTCATCTGTTTCTATCCAGAGAGGTCACAGGCTCTATTTTTGTGAGAGTTAGGACTGGTCACATCCACTTGCCCTTGGAGCTTGGGTCAGTTGCAGGTGGCTTAGGAGAGCCATGTGGCTCCTCAGTGGCCTGTCTCCTGATGTCTACGCTCATTTTCATGGTGTCTGCAGGCAGTGTTAAGTGCACACTTACATGGTGATTGTGGACCTGCAAAAAGGTTGCTCTTTTAGAAGTGGTATTGGAAGGTCCACACATGTATGGCTGAAAAGATTTCATTGCCTTGCTCCCTGTTTTTGAGACTTCCTCTTGCATCCTCCTTACTCCATCTCCTATCTTTTTGGTTATTCACACGAGCAATATTCTGTTCACTTCATTTTTTGCCTAAACTATTTTGTGGCTTCTCCAATAAAAACCTGTCATGTATTTTTGTCTCATTGTAAAAGTGTACCAAATTGTGTTCATATTGCTTCTTTTTTGCACCCAAGCACTTTCCCTCTGTTGTTAAAATGTTGTGTCCCTATTTGCATATCCTGTGACACTTTACTCTGCCCCTAATACTGCTGTCTTTGGCCAGCCTGCCATCCTGAAGCACCAGTTTTCACAGGGATAAAGTCCCCCTTCCCCTTTCACCCATTACATTTAAGCTTAAATGTAGTGACTCTAATTGGTGTTAAAAGATGAAGATGCTCACATTATTCACCCTGGACTCCAGGTGGCAGACAAAGAGAACATCAAGCCTGAGCTGAGCCACTTGGCAAAGGTTAGAGACCTTCCATTTAGTGCCCCCTCACTGGCACATATGCTCTTACCACCATTGTGTCCTGAAAATGTTATTGAAGTCCTGACAAACATGCTTCTGTATGTTTTTGAGGTATTGAATGCATAAGTCACTCAAAAAGTGGGTTCCCTGGGTATTTCTTAGATCTCAATACTTACCTTACTTTAAGAGTTTTATTGTGAAATAATTTGTATAGAATTAAATTCACCCATTTTACTTGTATAGTGTGGTAAATTTAGTAAACATAGGAGATCGGCAACCACTACTCCATTATGTTCAAATGCTTTTCGCTGCAGAAGCTCTCCTCATGCTCCACCACAGTCATGACTGCCTTCTTTAGCTCCCTGGTACCTGCCCTTCTCTTGCTCCACTTTGCTCTTTCTGTAATACATGAAGGGAGTCTTCTGTGACTGCTCTGTCACTTAGCATGTTTTGAGATTCAAGCCATATTTCTTTCCTTCTACCGTAGGTGGCATTCCATGTAGAGAGACACCTCACATGTCCACCCACTCCCCAGGTGATGCACATCTGATTGACTTCTGTATTTTCCCCTTTTTCATAAAGCTCCCCTGAACACTTCAGTCGTGTCTTTGTGTGGATACATGCCTACGTGTAAACACCTTAGAGTGCAGGTTTCTGGGTGCACTGACAGCATGGAAAGATGGCCAGCCCTAGCATCAAGTCAGTGCTGTTCTGTTCATCTGTCTGGGTATTGCTGTCACCCACAACAGGAACGATTTTAGAAAACTTCCAACTGATTAAACGTTTTCGCCAACTGGAGAGTGGACAGTGCAGCCATGTTCACATATGAACTCTGAAGGGCAGATTACATGAAGCAGCATGGCATCTGCATGAGTCACGATGTCAGACAGTTTACCAAAGAGGACTTAAGGAGGGTTGACTACATACAGATATGGTCAAAAGCAATCTGAGAGATTTGAATAGACAAAATAATAAAGATAAAACCTGCAAAGCTAAAATGGAATTACTTGGGAAGCTATGATCCACAAAACCAACTCATCATTGAAGATCCCTATTGTGGGAATGACTCTGACATTACACTGCAGTGTGTCTGGACTTGCAGACTTCCTGGAGAAGGACTGCTGGGCTGACCAGGCCTTCCCACTCTGCCTTCTTAGTCTTGTGCTTCAGCTGACTCGCTGTTTCTTATCTTAAAAATAATTGTAGGTGGGTGTGGTGGCACATACCTCTAGTCTCAGCACTTGGGAGACTGAGGCAGGAGGATCTCTGCAGATTTGACACCAGCTTGGGCTACATAGTGAGTTCAAGGCCAGCCTGAGCTAATACCAAGCCCCTGTGTCAAAAGAATAAACAAATGGCTGGGGATTTAGCTCAGTGGCAGTGTGCCTGCCTTGCCAGCACAAGGTCCTGAGTTCCATCCCTGGTACAGAAAGAAACAAAAACAACACAACAACAACCAAGAACAATATAACATTTTTAAAATAAGAAAATGAAAAAAACCATAGGAACAAATCTGTTATATTTGCAGAAGAATAAATAAAAAGATTTGATTTGGCTTTTACGGGGTACATTAAGTGTTGTTGGACTACTTGAACCTCCCACCTTTCCCTATTCACAAAATAGCGAAACAAGCAGATACAGAACAGCAAAGGAGTACCATGAAGTTAAAATGACTCAAAGGCCCACATCAGTCTCTGAGCACACCAAGACCTGACCGGGGCAATCTGCTCTACCTTGAGTGGGCACATAGCTGGTGCCCTCTGCTCACTTGTATGCTTTTCTCTTCCCAAGCCTCTAAGTGACTCACAGTAGCCCCATCCACAGCAACTCTGTACTGACATTAACAGTGTTTTAGTTTATGTACAGTTATTGTGCACATTTGTATTCGTGTATTGTAAGGATAAGGTGATTAAAATTTGAAAAACAGTTTACAGTGGGACACACACTGCCATGAGTCCCCATCAGAATTCCCTCCTCACTTCCAGGAATACTTGTCCCATCATTTTTACCACTTTCTGGAATATTTCTTGAGGTTCTCGTTCATAAGTGTCTTTAGTTGCACTGTCTTCTCTGCCTTTGTGTCCTGAATTGATACTGAACCTTTACCTTTCATAGTCATATTGACTTTCAGGAAGTGGTAGATGTTTCATGGTTCCAACTCTAATGAACGAAGTAGATGAGGGCACACTGTCATGATTTTACAAGTCTATCTTCATGTTGGGTCACTTTGGGAGAAACAATCACCATACTTTTGGTCACAGCTTCTAAAGGACATGAAAAGGGGAGACGTCTACAGCTGCTCCTGAGAGTGGTAGGGGTGATGAGATGAATGTTCCAAGTGAGGTAGAATACTTTTGGGGGGTGTGGTGTGATGGCAATTTGCCTTTTACTATAATGATTTTTTTTTTAAATTTGAACATTCACTGCGTATTTTGATCATACCTCCTCTGTTTAAGATAGAAAAGAGATTGGTGAAATTTATCTTTAGCACTTTTGAAACTTGTTGGTTCTTGTCTAGTTTACTTCATGAGGAGGTCTGCTAATTTGCTCCCACTTGAACCACTTTCCTCTAAAAGTTTAATTCTATCCCAAAGGAACAACAGTTGTATGCAGTTTATCTTATGGGCAGTTGAGTGATGAATCTGTTTTATATGCACATGTAATTCAGATGTCAACTATTAATTGGCTGAAGTGTGCAAAGTTAAAAAGTTGGAAACTTTTCTGTTTTGTTCGTGTGCTTAAATATTGATATGTTAGCAAGTTTAATAAAGCTGTAGGCAAACATAGGTAATTTCATTGCAAACTCAAATCCATATGGGTGTCAGAAAGGGATACCTGGGGCCAGGAATTTAGCTCAGTGGTTCCACTGCCTACCTCGCAAGCGCAAGGTCCTGAGTTTGATCCCCAGTACCAAACAAGAAAAAAAAAAAAAAAACAGAAAAGGAGACTGATCAACTATGAGTCTGGCAGGCAAGGAAGAGCTTTCAGGATGAAAGGATATAGTCTGACTACATGCCACTGGTCAAGGTGTTGCTTTCAGCTCCATTACAGTTCAGTCCCATTCTCTTTTAGTGGGGATCCTGTGTGCTATGTTTCGGATATGGGGAGTCCCCAAGAAACTTCAAGTGTTTCTGAGGTGGTTTAATCATGGAGGTGCCATAGCTGACTTTCTGTTGGGAAGTGTGGTGTGGTCAGAGTAACTGGATCACTCGGGGCATGACCTGGAAGGGTTTATCTCCTCCCAGGCTCCTTCTTCTCTTTCTACTTCTTGTGACCTGCTTGTGTCCATTCATTCCTTTCCACCGTTCTCTTTCTGCATCGAAGACAGCTAAGTATGGACTGAAACTACTGAACGTGCAAGCTAAAATAAATACCTCCTTTAAGTTGTGGGTATCATGTATTGTGGCCAAGGAAGTGCCTAAAAGCCTCCTTATATGACTCTCCACAGCAGCCCTCCAAAGTTCTCCAGTTATGTTTTCTTGCTCCTTCCTCTTCATCACTAGCACACTTGGACCTCAGACTGCAAAGCCAGTGGATATAGTGACTTCAAGTTTGGGGAGAGAGTTCCTCGCATCACACATAACCTGCAGAAGCCACAGAAACTGCTAAGAGTGAGAATTTTCCAGCTTCAGAAAAAAAAAAAATCATACCCAAGCCCTAAACCATCCTGAGGCCTCACTAGAAGTCTGTTCTTCATTCCAGCTTCCCCAGTGCCTGTGGCCTGCGCTTTGGTGGGCAGGGACTTAATGGAAGGATCAGGAAGGGCTGGCGTAAGAGTAAGGACTGACAGTGGCTTGGAGCCAATCTGTTTTGACCACTGAAAAGAGCCTGGAATAACCTTCTGCTATTGTGAGTAGGTGTCTTCCAAATACAGATGTAATGAATGCAGAGGCTCTGAACCATTTGTATTTGATCCTACAGCTAATTCCAACTTCTGTGGACTGCTTGTACCTGAGCATATACACACCTGCACATTTCAGTGATTGTTGTTTCCCAACTCTGAGATCAGAAATGGTCAGTTAAGGTTGGGAGGAAATTTGTTTCGCAAGAAGAGTAGAATTGATCTGGGGACATAGCTCAGAGGTAGAACTATAACCCAGCATGCAGGCAGCACTGGATTCAAGCTCAGAGCTGGGGGTGGGAGCGAGAGGAAAGAGAGAGGTAAAGGAGACAGAAGGCAGAGGAAAGAAGAGAGGAAAGAGGAGGGGAATGAGGAGGAGCTGCAGGAGACAGAGAAGAAGCTCAAAATATAGGCTCCTTGTCCAGGAAGCTGCATTACCTGAACCTCCCCCAAGTGGATGTTGCCTGTGATGTTTGGTGACTTGTTGATGGAGTGTACCCAGGGGACAGTCAAGATCCCAGACTTTCAAAGCCCAGTTTAGGAGATGATGGGAGACTTTGTGTTCTTGACACTTGCTCTCCAGGTAGCACATTTTCCGAATGAGTACACCTGCAAGTGCTGTCTGAATCCCTAGGGAGCAGCTGAGCTCTGTGGATCCCAGGAAAGGTGTGTGGTATTCAGGTCCACACCCATGTCTTTGTTGCCCCTGTCGTGTCAGATATTTCAAAGCAGGGTGGAGGAGGAAGCAAAGGAAGAAAAGGGGATTTAAAAAAAGAGAATGGAAGGAAAGCATGCAAACAAAATTTTGTATATTGAGGAGGGGAAGAAAGGGTGAAGAGAAGGCAGGGGAATAGAAAAAAAGACAAGATGTGTTATGTACGGGTAGAAATCCCCCAGGATGAATGTAATCATTATGAATGGCAAACATATACTAGTAAAAGTTGTTTTTAAAAGAGCTAAGACTGAATGCAGGTGGCCGTGTCCTGCCTGCTGTCCATTGGCTGTGTGCAAGCTCTGCCCAATCAGCACTACTCCGCTGCAGCATCCACCTTGCCTGGCTCACCAGATGCCCCGCCCCCACCCTGTTGGGTTCAAACTCTGACTTGGGCAAGACTCTGTTGCCAGGCTTCCTGTGGGTGAAAGGGAGAGTGCCTCCAGCAGCACCAAAATACAGCCAGACTGACAATGGGACTGGACCAACTTCTCAGCTTGCTGAGGGCTGTGACCTGTGGTCTCTTAATTCTACATCCAGGCCAAGGTAAGAATCTCCCAGAAAATACCAGGTGGCATAGTCACATCTGTCAAAGTGTGCAGAGGCAGAGCCTGAGACTGCGGTGTTGTAGAGGAGTGGGGTGGAGGGGAAGTGCCAGGGAGGGAGAAGCTGGTAGAGATGGCAGATGGCAGTGTGGGAAATGTGTGCCTCATAAAAGACCCAATCCAAGCCCCCCTGGATGGATCCTGGAAGCACAGACAGGGTCAGAACTGCCTGAGGAGACCCACTACCAAAGAGAAATGCACTCTGAAGATGCCTAAGAGCACACACCGGCAAGTGGGAAACCTTGTGGCTTCCGAGCTGGGTGGGATTCAGGACATCTCCTTCCCGGGTGTATGTGGCTGTGGCTGTAACTGCCCTTGACCCTTGGGTGTAAGAATAATGATAATAATAGCTTCCTGCTGCATTTTGTCTCTGACTGTGACATTCTCTTAGCCTGAAACATACCCCTAGCACTCTCCAGAGGCAAGGTAACAGGTCTTAAAGGATACAGAAGCCTGTGGGCACCACATCCCAAAGCTGAACTCAAAGTCTACTGGATCCCTTCATCTCAGGTCCTGACATGGGTCAAAAAAAAAAATGGATTGGTTTCAGGGGCAAAGATGTCTGGTATATCACAGTCAGGTAATCTTTGGACTCTTATCAGGAGCCGATGCCAGTATGGCTCCATGTACAGGGTGTGTCTGCAGACTTTGACTCTCTCACAGAAAGGCTCCTACGGTGGGACCTGCTGATCTCCCTCATACTTCCCCAGTCCAGTCTACCAAAGAGTCAACACTCACCTCACTGCCTGGGCAAACCCTGCTAGACTTCCTTCCTTACCCCCTAATATCCAAGCAGTGGTATTATGGGAAGAGAGTGTGACAAGGTGTGAGAAGCCAGGGTTTTCAGATCAGGGCCACTTACAAGGCTGAGCTGAGGATGGCAAGGAGATGGTAATAATCACAATGTGTGAGGCAGCTGATCGAGCAGACCACACTCTGATGTGCACTTCCTGCCCACAGCCCAGGACTCTGCCAGCCCCATCCGGACCACAAACATAGGACAGGTGCGGGGAAGCCTCGTCCATGCAAAGGGCACTGATGCTGGGGTCAACACCTTCCTGGGAATTCCCTTTGCCAAGCCACCTGTAGGACCACTGCGGTTTGCACCCCCTGAGGCTCCTGAGTCCTGGAGTGGAGTGAGGGATGGAACCTCTCACCCTGCTATGTAAGCTCTTTGGGTACTGGGGAAATTCAGGCCCTAGGGAAGGGTGGGTGCCTGAGCTCAGGGTCAGGCTGCAGTGATTCTGCCATCTAAGTCCTGCAGCCAGTTTTCCTTTGCTTTGAGGGGATTCCCACTATGAGCCTGCCAGGCTGCAGAGGGTAGAGGCACTGTGTTAGACTGTTGGCTCAGGCCTTGGCAGTCTGAAGGTATTGGTGCTGAATAGAGGGGCAGAGACACATTTCTTTGTAGTTTTGGGTTACACCACATGTTCTGTCTCACTGGGGAGGTCTTTGGAAGAGGTCAGGTTAATCTGTGAATCTTTTAAGAACCTTTGATCCAGCAGCAGATACTACAGATCTCTCAGGACAGTAGTGGTAACCCCTTGGAGTCACCGTGCCAACTGACAAGGCCAGGAGCCCTGGTCTAGTTCACGCCTTGGAATACCTGTTTGCCATTGTCACCAGGTGTCTTCAAGATACTAACTTAATGGGTTCAGAAGGTCTGAAGATATTTAATGTGATGGTCCCTTCTATCCCTGCATCTGAGGACTGCCTGTACCTCAACGTCTATACACCTGCCCATGTCCATGATGGATCTCTCCTGCCTGTAAGTGTCAAGCCATGGTCAGACTGGGTATGGGAGTATATTTCTTCACCAAGATTAGAAGGTAGCTACAAAAATGGTTTAATGTTAGACATTTGCCTATCAAGTACAAAGTTATAGGTTTAAGCCAAAGCACCACAAAACTCAAACAAAAGTGAAGGAGCGTGAGATTAGAATGGACATGGTCAGCCTGGTTCTACTACAGTGTGGACTCTTCCATGAATTCTTTTGCTACAGAGACCAAGAAGGGCTTCTCAACCAGGATAGGTAACTGACTCTTAGGCATTAAGTCATACAGCCTTTACTGGTACCAGAGGTCAGAACTCTTTAGAAATCACCCACAAACCTAGCTGTGGGCTAATGAAATAACATTTTTATTAGCCATTATGGGGGACAATTTCAGAATACCCTCTCCCTTTTCCATTGCCAACGGATTGAACAGTAATAGATTCAGGCTTGAATTTTCTGGTCTACATGATTCAACTTGGGTCTGTCACACATACCTCAGGCATGTGATCTTACTGGAGTCCTATGTGATAGTTGCACAGAGCCTAAGTAGTGGATAGTGTATGAGGCCAGGTGCTGTTTGGGCTGGGCTGAAGCCAAGTGGCATCTGTCTTGATTTCCCCAGGTGATGGTATGGATCCATGGTGGTGGGCTAGTTGTAGGTTCGGCTTCCATGTATGATGGATCCAAACTGGCAGCTTCTGAGAACGTGGTGGTGGTCATTATCCAGTACCGCCTGGGTGTCCTGGGATTCTTCAGGTCAGTTTCTAGCCGGGCTGGGAAGTAAGGCTGAGCAGAGCCAGGATAGGCTTGTGATCCCTGTCCTTGTCACTTCCCAGCACTGGAGACCAGCATGCCACTGGCAACTGGGGCTACCTGGACCAAGTGGCTGCCTTACAATGGGTGCAACAGAATATTGCTCACTTCGGAGGCAACCCCGACCGGGTCACCATTTTTGGGGAATCTGCAGGTGGTGTAAGCGTGTCATCACATGTCTTGTCCCCCATGTCTCGCGGACTCTTCCATGGTGCCATCATGGAGAGTGGGGTGGCCTTGCTGCCGGATCTCATCTCTAGTTCTTCTGAGGCCGTTTACACTGTGAGTGCCCTCAACTAACTCTGCCCAGCACCTCTCTTTCTTCCCTCACCTTTAGAGCCTCTGTAGCACTGTCATTCAGTGGGGACAATGATGGCAGTTTAGGTGTCTTGGGAAAGGCTGCCTTCCTAGAAATTCCTGAGTTTCTCCAAAGTGACAGTCCATACACCTTGGCCTCTAAGAAGCTAAGTATGTTCCATGGGCAGCAAGGATAACTCATGGGGCTCCCATTGTGGGTAGAGCTATGGAAACAGCCCCTCTAGCTGAGACTTCTGAGCATCAGGGAAGATAGAAGAATTTCATGCTGACAGCAATTCCTAGAGGAAATCCTGTAAAATTGGGGCTTTACCTGTTTCCAACTGGGTCCTCTTCCTGCTTGGAAGATGAGCCAGCTCCTGCCTGAACTAATTTCAGATGGTGGCCAACATGTCTGGCTGTAGGCAAATTGATTCAGAAGCCATGGTGAGATGCCTACGTGACAAGAGTGAAGAGGAGATTGTGGCTATTACAAAGGTTGGCTGTTCTCAGGAGTGGATGAAGGGGTGAAATTGTCTGAGAGTGAGTCCCTCTTCCTCTGCCTGATAACCTCATCTGCATCTGTCACTGTCCATGCACATCTGGTTGGGAAATGTGCACAAAGATTTCTAAAACAAGGTGTAGCAATCATGAGGTGGATGTGCACATCCTGGGATGAGTTAAGGGGGACTGGAAGTAAGCAATTGGGCATTAGAAAGTATCTGAGACCTGACCTTGATCCCTGATATGAATGCCCCCTTAGTCCTTCAAGATCATCCCTGCTGTAGTGGATGGGGCCTTCCTGCCCAGGCACCCCCAGGAGCTGCTGGCCTCTGCTGACTTTCACCCTGTCCCCAGCATCATTGGGGTCAACAATGATGAGTATGGCTGGGTCATCCCAATGGTAAGGTCCTGTCCCAAACTCTGAGGAATTTGGGGTATGTATTTGGTTTGTAGGGGTTATACAGGTACAGGCTGATCTCAATTCCATACCATTCCTCCTCTCCAGTTTCTTGGCTCTGCAGACACCCAGAAGGAAATGAGCAGAGAAACTCTGCGGACTGTTCTGCAGAGCATGTCAGCACGGATGGTGAGGCTCCTGTTTCTACCCCAAGGATATGGCACCCCCAGATCTTTGCCCATGCAGTTATCCCATCAAACAAAAGCTGAACTGTGTATTTGGTTGTAGGTGTGGTCACACTCTTATAACTACAAGTTCATGGCCTGTCAGCTATTTTTCCACCCTAAGCTCCCTCTCACAACATGAAACCTGCCTAACCTGACTCTCCACGGTTTACCTGAGCTAGATGTTGCCTGCTGAGTTTGGTGACCTACTTATGGAAGAGTACATGCGGGACATTAAGGACACCCAGGCCCTCAAAATCCAGTTCCATGAGATGATGGCGGATTTTATGTTCGTGCTTCCTGCACTCCAAGTAGCACATTTTCACCGTGAGTACATCTGTAACTGAGGCCTAACAGCCGAGGCAGTAGCTCAGAGCTGTGAGTCCAGGTGAGATCTATAGAGTCCAAGTCTGGTTCCATATCTTTCTTGAGTCTCTGCTGCCGGGTACTTGATGTCCTCCATTTCAGAAAACCTTCATGGTTAAATCTCAAATAAAAATTAATCCTGGAGGATCACAATTCCTGATTTTCAAATATACTACAAAACTATAGTAACAAAGACAGCATGATAGTAATACAACATAAATCCACAGACCAATGCAATAGAATAAAAAACACCATAACAAACCTAAACAACTACATCAATGTGATTCTTTGTAACAGAGCCAAAAATGTATGTTTACCCAATGTTGCTGGGAGCCTGGAGATACATATGGAAAAGATTGATACTATATCCTGCTATCCTGTGATTTCAGTACTCTGGGAGTCTGAAGCAAGAGCATTGCAAATTTCAGCCAATTTTGGACAACTTAGTGAATAAGTTAGACCATGTCTCAATTTAAAAAAAAATGACCTGGGAATGTAACTCAGTGAAGGCCCTGGATTGAATTCCAAGTATTAAAAAAAAAATGCTGTGTCTGTCCTTAAGAATACAAAATCCAACAAATGCTGAGGATTAAGAATGTAGGGAAATAGGAAGCCTTCCTCACTATTGGTGGAAATAAAATCAGTGTAACCATTATGGAAATCATGATGTGGGTTCCTCCTAAAACTAAAACTAGAGCTACCGTTTAATCCAACTGGTATTTGAGAGCATACAATTCTTGGTATATTCTAAAAGGATTAAAGTTAGCAAACTAGAGAGTTACCCGCGTAGTCATATATTACAGTATAATTCATAATAGCTAAGCTATTGTGATACAGTTGAGGTGCTCATCAACAGATCAATTAATAAAGAAAGTGTGTATATATAATAAAATATTATCCAGCCGCAAAGTAGAATGAACTCACATCCTTTGAAAGAAAATAGATGGGAGAGGAGATCACTATATTAAATAATATAAGCCATGCACAGAATGTCACCTATCACATATTTTCTACATAGGAGAAATATGGAGTAAAAATGGAGAGATGACATGAAAGAAGACTAGTAGAGAAGAGGAGGGAATCAGGTGAAAGAGAAAGAGGGAAGATGGAAATGGGGCGAGAATGATCACAGTATGTTGCATGTATGTAGAAATGTGCCAGAATAATACCCAATAATCCATGTAACTAATAAGTGCTAATAAAATGTCTTCTTGCCTGATGTAAGAGATAGACATCTCCCTCATTGTACAAGTGAAGAAAACGAGGAGAGTGACACTCAATGTGTTCCTACACAACTCAACTGGGAAGTAAAAAAAAAGGTCATGACTTATCCAAGGACCTTCCCATTGCTCCTGCTGCAGCCTGGGGATCCTCACCACACTCTTCAGGTTCCAGCCAACTTTGGACTTAGGTGATTTGTGCCCAAGGCTGAGGCAGGAGAGCTCCAGGTAAGGGGTCATCAAGTCACAGCTGTCCACACCCTCAGGTTCCCATGGCACTGTCTACTTCTATGAATTCCAGCATCCTCCCAACTTCCTGAAAAGTATCAGGCCCCTCCATGTGAAGGCTGACCATTCTGATGAAATTACCTTTATCTTCGGGTCCTTCCTCTGGGGCAACCAAGGTGAGTCTCCTCAACATCCAGGAGCAGGGATGGGGCTCTGGCTGAGTCTTGGAGTTGTGACTTCATCCACAGTCCAGATGAGGAAGTTGAGGCCCAGAGAGAGAGGACAGGATCAGCATTACCACATTACAAGAGACTGTGCCAGAAATAGAATCCAAGCCTGTACACTCACCCAGTGCTCCCTCTTCCATCTGTCTTCATCCTGACCATGTTGTTCAGTATGAGTGAAAAGGGCAGGAGGGACTGTCTTAAATATTTCTTTAATGACTTACCAGGGTCAGATGGAGGAACCTACTGGGCCAACACTGAGCCCAGGGTCAATTAGACTAGAGAAGGAGGTGAGAAAAGATGGGCAAGGTGAGGGCCTGGCTCCAAGTCAAGTCAGGATGTAGAGGACTAGGCCTGTTGTCCAGGGTCAGGCTATAGCTGAGTGATGAGACTGTTACATGGATGAGCAGCAGCATGAAGGGGATGAACGTCAGCCTAAGACATGGGCCTTTTTCCTCTTTCTCTGCAGTTCACTTCACTGAGGAGGAGGAGCTACTAAGCAGAAGGATGATGAAATATTGGGCCAATTTTGCACGAAATGGGTGAGATGATGCTTCCCTACCTCAATCTTCACAGGGTGTGTGAACTCATCAGGTGCACCACTTCTCTGTGGGGACTTTGTTGGCCATGTGCATCCTTAAATCATGTGTTAACTTCACTACAAGACTAAGAATTGTATGGACACAGAGAGGGGCCCTGCCAGTCCAGACTGCTCATCACCTCCCAGTGACCTGCATGGTGGGCCATAGTGCTGTGGTTCAGACATAGCCTGCTTCTAAGAGGGAGGGAATAAAACAGGACTGGGAGGCCTGTCTCACATGGAGGGGACACTAGTGGGATGGCTGCTCACTGTATCAGGAAAAGTTCCCCTTATTTCAATATTTGCCAGTTTATCTGTCCTTCTTGATGCAAATCAAGGCCCTCAGGCTGGGATTCAACAGGGCTCAGACTGACCTCTCACCCCCTGTTGGGAGGGTATCTTCACAGGAACCCCAATGGCCAAGGCCTGCCCCACTGGCCTGCATTGGACCATGAGGAGCTGTACCTGCAGCTGGACATTGAGCCTACTGTGGGCCGTGCCCTGAAGGCCTCCAGGCTGAAATTCTGGACAGAGACTCTGCCTCAGAAGATCCAGGAGCTAAAGAGGGCTGAGGAGAAGCATGCAGAGCTGTAGCTCCCTGTGTTGGGAGGGAGGTTGGGGATGAGTACAGGTGAAGTCTGCCTGTGGTGACCTACACCCACAAACCCACAGATCCATCCATCCATTCAACCCTCACTAATGAAGAATTCCCTGCATAGTATTCATTACCAGGCCTGCCTTATTTTCCCTGTTGTTAAACAGTCATTACATTCCCTAGTGTATGGCTTGTATCTAAATGTCTCTCCAAAGTCTCATGTGGTCATAGGCGTGGCTTTCCAGAGGTGACTAGATCTAATGTGCTTGGTACTGGGACCATTATGTGGTGCTGGGATTGTTTCATGTTGTGATACTAGGATTAAGGTTGTCCCACCAGAGGTGCTAGCCTGGATAGGATGTAAGGGACAGAGATAGGGCTGTTGCTGTCATTTGTTACTTGCTCCTCCTGTGCTTGCTGCTTTCTGCCTTCTGACTGCCATGAATTGCTTCTCCTATGTGATACCCTTCTGCCACGCTACCTTGCCTTATATCCAAGCAGGGTGGCATGGAATGAAACCTCTACAAACTGTGAGCCAAAATACCCTTTCCTCTTTTAACTTTGATTGTTGAGTATTTTGTGTCAACAATAAGAAAAGTAACAAGAACCCAGGGAGCTGTGGATGAGTAAGTTCCATTAGACACCTTCCTTATCACCACACTAGATCTGGACCACTTTTCCTTTTCTTACTATGTCTTCATGCCTCCACTCTTGCCTTACATGAAAATGATGACTTGGAAAACATTACCCACACCTAAGTGTCAAAATTCTTTTCATCTCTCAATGATTTCATCTGTGCTCATATTAACGTAGGCCAACAGAATCCCAGATTACATGAACCTAGGCTCTTTGTGTATTCAGGCTGCTGTAAAACTGTATCAAAATCTGAACAGCTTATAAAAACAGAAATTTGTTTATAGATCAGGAGTTTTCACTTGCATGAAGTTTGTCTCATGGGCAGGTGAATCTGTTTTATTGTTGAGTCTGTTTTATATGTGCATGTAATTCAGATGTCAAATATTAATTGTCAAGTGTGCAAAGTTAAAAAATTGGAAAAAATCCTGTTTAGTTTGTGTGCTTAAATATCAATATGTTAGCAAATTTCATAAATATAGGGAAATATTGGTAATTTCATCGAAAACTCAAATCCACATGGGTGCCAGAAAAGGAGCCCCAGTCAACTATGAGTCCAACAGGCAAAGAAGAACTTTCAGGATGAAAGGGTGCAATCAGACCACCCTGCCTTTGCTCAAGGTGTTGCTTTCAGCTCCATTAAAGTTGAGTCCCATTGTCTGTTTGTGGCTATTATCTTTGCTATGTTTCAGATCTGGGGTGTTCCCAGGAAACCTCATGTGTTTCAAAAGTGATTGGGTCATGGAGGGGCCATAGCTGAGTTTCTTTTGGGAAGTGTGGTGTGGTCAGAGGAGCTGGGTCACTGGGAGCATGACCTGGAAGGGTTTATCTCCTCCCAGGCTCCTCCCTTCTCTTTCCACTTCTTGTGGTCAGCTGTTCTCAATCCTCGCCCTTCCACTGTTCTGTTTCTGCATTGGAGCCATCTGCATTGGAGCATGGACTGAAACTTCTGAACATTTGAGCCAAAATAAACATCTCCTTTAAGTTGTGGGTGTCAGTTATTGTGGCCAAGGAAAACACTCCTTTTATGCCTCTCCAGAGAATCCCTCCAAAGTTCTCCAATTACAGTTTCTTGACCCTTCCTCTTCACCACTAACACTCTTCTTGGACCTCAGACTGCAAAGTCAGTGGACATATTGACTTCAGGTTTGAGGAAAGAGTACCTCATATAACACATGGCCTGCACAAGCCACATATAGCACATTGGAAGGAAGCCAGAGACAGCCAGAGTAGAGGGGAAGTGACTATGGGCTACCTTGCTGGCCACTGGCTCCCAGAGACAGCCCACTCACTGTCACTCCATGGCAGCACCCTCCTGCCCTGCCCAACCAACACCCTGCTTACTTCCAGCTAGGTCCAACCTCCAGCTTGGCAAGGCCCTGCTCAGCTGCCTGCCAGTGGATGTAGCTTACTAAGCAGCAATGCAGAAACTGGCCTGCAAGTCAATCATGACCACGGGCTTGATGTATACTCTGTGTATCTGAGGGCATTTACTTGTCTTCCTGGTAGGCTGTGGGTGTAACAGGGACTATGCCTGGGCCTGCCACATTGTGCAGAGGCAGAGCCTGGGATTACCAGAGGGAAAATGATGGGAGGGAAGAGCTGGTGGAGGTGACAAGAGAAGCATGAACCTGATTGACAGTTCCCTGCACAGAGAGGGTAAGGGCTGACTGAAGGGCACACAGCATGCAGGGATGGGCCTGGTCTGGGTTAGAGAAAAGAGTTAACAGATTCAAGGTGCTTGTCATCTACTTTCAACATGGGCAACCTGCTTTTATTTGGACAGTTATATAACTTTCAATTCCTGCCTTCCTCCCTGAGTCCAGCCGCAGGCAGGCTGGTTATGTTAGTCTGATCACAGCTACATGTCTTTCTTTTTGCTCTCCTCACAATACCACTCCTTGCATGGAGGAGCCTTTCTTTATGATGTGCCGCCCTGGACATGAGATTCTTTGAGTATGGGAGACTCTCCCTCAATTCCCACAGAATTTTCAAGCTCCAAATGGAGTGTAATTCAAGGCCCTCAAAAATTGTGAACCTGTCTGGAAGTCTGCCCTCTATCCCATGTTTCCCAGAGCCTATGGCTGGTGCCATGTTGGGCAGGAACTTTAAAGAAAGATCACGCATAAACATGGGATCAGTGAGAGTGAGAACTGAGGGTGGTTTGGAACAAATCTGAAAGCAGGGACTGGGTTTGACCACTGCACAGCTTCTGAAATAACTTTCTATTATTGCTACCAGGTGTTTGCAAACTGTAGATGTAATGAATACAGAGGATCTGAAACTTTTGAATTTGACCTTACCACCTATCCACATGTTTGAGAACTGCTTGTATCTGAACATCTACCTACCTGTCCATGGTGGTATAAGCTCTAACCTCCCCGGGAGTATCAGATTGTAGTAAACTGGGCTTGGGAGGAAATTTGTTGTACAAGAATATTAACAGGGATCTGCAGACATATTTCAGTCTTAGTACCATTGTCCAGCATGCATGAGGCTCTGGGCTTAAGCTCAACTGAGAGAGATGGTGTTGGGCATGTGGAGGAAGAACAGGAGTGGTCGGGGGCGGGGAGAAAAGGGTACAATAAGGCTGCCTCCTGGACCCATCCAGTGCTAAGTACCAAGGAGCCTTAATCTCCCTCTCCCACATCAAAATAGATGTTGCCTAATGTATTTGATGACCTGTTGGTGAAAGAGTAACTGGAAGACAATCAGGAATACAGATTCTCAATGCCTAGTTTTAAGATATCATGAAAGACTTTGTGTTCGTGAACCTTGGACTCCAAGTAGCATATTTTCAGCACAAATTCACCTACAACTAAGGTCTGACTGCCTAGGAGGTGATCTGTGTGGTATTCAAGTTCACACCTATATCTTTGTTGAGTCTGAGGTACTAGGTAATTTATGTCTCTTATCTCAGTAGGTCCTCATAGCTAGTACTGGAGACAGAGTGGCAGCCCCCCAAACTGTGCAGATGATGAAACTGAGTTTAACAATGCTCAGTAAGTTGCCCAAAATACTCACCTAAAAGGTCCAAAGTCATAATTATCCAAGACTTTTCCCACTGTCCTCACATCAGTCTGGAAATCCCCACTATGCTCCCCAGATTCCAGACAGCTTTAGGCCTAGCTATCTTGTCACCAATGGTAAAACAGGAGAGCTAAAGACCAGGTAAGTATCACCAAAGAATAGCTTGCCCACGTCCCCAGCTTTCTGTGGCTCTACCTCTATAAGTTCCAGCACTGGTCCAACTTCTTCAAGTACATCAATGGCACCCACCAACAGGAAAGCAGAACATGGCAATGACTTTCTCTTTGTCTTCAGATCCTCCTACTACCACTGCAATGGTGAGTCTTTGATCTGAGGATCTGGAATGGGGCCACAACTGGGTCCTAGAAGGGTGACTTCCCTCACTGTCCAAATGAGGAAACTGAAGCTCAGAGAGAAGATTGGATCAGTGTACACTATCTCACAGCTCAAAAGTCTCCACTGGAATTAGAATCTGAGCCCTTCTACTCTATCCTGCGCTTCTCCCACCTGACCCCACCCCAACCGCAGTGTCCAGCATGGGTACAAAGCAGGGGAATCTCAAAGGTACCAGAGTTTCTTGAATGATTTCCTAGTGTCACAGGAAGAAGTGACCTTCTGGACCATGAACCATTCCAGGATCACTTAGGTAGGGGCTGGAATGAGGAAGGGCAGGATGAGCAGAGGAGGGCATGGCTCTGGGGTTTGCGGGGGAGGAGGGAACCAAGCCTGGGTCCTGAGTAAGGCTGCAGTTGGATGTTCGTGGTATACAGATAAGCAGTAGGATGGGGATTGATGAGGACCTGGGCACTTGTTTTCTTCTCTGAACTTGACCTCATTAAGGAGGAGAAAGAGGAGGAGGAGGGGCTTCTGGTCAGGAAAATAATAAATGGGTGACTGGGTGTCTCCCTACTTCAACTTCACCAAAGACCATGAACATCAGGTACTCCCCAGTCTGTGGTGACCTCATTAGTGTATGTCTCTTTACTCCCATGATAACATACTTCCAACTCCAGATCCTACCTGGACATGGACAGGAAGGGGCCTGTGGGTACTGGTTACTCATCCCTCCCTGAATGACCTGAATGATTGGGCACAGCTGTGGTTCTGTCACAGCTTGTCTTTTGTAAGGAGAAAACAAGCCCTTTCTTCACTCCACACTAGTGGGAGGTCCTTGCCTTTTGCTTTTCTTACATCTGGAACTCACATCCTTATCCCACCCAGGGACCTTTGACCAGCTTGACTCCTAGCTTGACCTAGATATCAGGGTGCTGGGGTCTGAGCTGTGCAAGGCTTGGACTGACTGCTGTGCCTACCAGGATGGCATTGTCCACAGGAACCCCAAATGACAGCCTGCCCTACTGGCTCATATTGGATCACAAGGAGCTGTACTTGTAGCTGTATATCCAGCCTGTCGTGGCTCATGACATTGAGGCCCCCCAGGCTGCAGTTTGGGATGGAGATCCTGCTCCAAATGATCCAGGAGTTAAATGGGGCTAAGGAGAAGCACAAAGAGCCATAGGTCCCTCTGTAGACGAGAGGGTGGGCTTGAATGCAGGTTGCCTCTGTTCGTGGAGCCCCAGTTGGCTCTATATTCATGTAGTCATTTATCCACTGTATATCCACCATTTGGCTAACACTTGTGAAGAATCCACTGCATAATATTCATTTCTAAGAGTGGCACATGTCCCCTTGTGTCAGACATATTCAGTACAGTCCCCAAGACACTGTGGATGGGTAAGTCCTAATGGATGCCCATATTCTTCCACAATCCACTGATTCTGGGCAACTCCTCCCTTCCTCACCTCATCTTCTTTCTGCCCTATGTTTCTTCTTTTTCCAGACCCCAAACTCTATCCACTTTGAGAAAGACATTTTTTGATGCCTCACTTGGATGTCAGAAACCCACATCCATCCACCTCTCAGAAATGTCTCCATGCTCTCAGAGCTGTAAGGATCAAATAGAAAATCTTGCCCAAACACTGGGAACTAAGTACCTTTAGGCTACTATAATAAAAACATTATAAGCTTGTAAACAACTGGCATTTAATCACTGTTTTGAGGCTGAGAAATGTAGCTCAAAATTCCAGCAGATTTGGTGTCTAGTGAAGCCTTTTTCTCTGGCTCAGAGATGGCACACTGTCTCACTGTGACCTAACTTGGGAAAAGGGACAAACAGCGGTTCTCATGATCTTATCATCTCCTGAGGGCCTTCCCCTCTTATTTACACCACAATAGAGTTTAAGTTTCAACATATGGATGACACAAATTTAGAAGACCATAGCATTTAGAGCTTGCCAATATCAGCCACTGAGTTTACCAGTTATTGAACATGTTCATATCTATGGTCCCTATATTAAATGTCATATATTATTAACACTTTAAAAACCTACCAACTGATCTCTATTTATCCTAGCATGGTGTCCATTTTTATTATAATGAGGATAGGGCTTGCCCTCTGGGCCCTGGATCCTGGGCTATCCAGGAGCTGTCCAGGAGGTCAGTTGTCTACAGGTGCTGTGTGGCTCACACTTAAATGATAATTGCCCACCTACAGTTGGTGGAATTGGTGGCCAGCTGGTCTAGACATGTCTAGCAGAAGAGATTCTTGTCCCCTGACTCCCTACTGGCCCTCCCACCCCAGAGGTGTCCTTCTTCCTTTCAAAATTTCTTTGAAAATCTTCTGACCCCTTGGCTGGATCTCACTCACAATGGGTGTTCACATGATTTATTTTCATTGTTTTTCCTTAACTTTTCTCTCTCCCCCTCAAAAAGCACTCTTGTGTTTTTCTCACTCTCCACAG